CATCCTTTGACCTCGCGTTCCCCCCCCCTCGGCGTCCCCAAGAGTGCTGGTATTAGATTCTTGCACTATGAAGTTTATCCTTTTTTTTTTTTTTTTTTTTTTTTAACGTTTTTACATTTCTTTTCCCCATCTTTTGCAGCAGGTATTACTAACAAGCCAGCCTTTTAAAAATTAATGGATTCAGAAATGATGACATGAAACATGAAATCTAATAGATTATGAAGTTTATCCAGCAGGATCTGTACCTTTTCCACTGAAAATGCAAAGAGGATCTAATTAGAATGCTGCAAAAATTAAAATTGTAATCCCTAGTTTTGCTGAAACATCCCCTTGAACCTCAAATACCGTTTTTTTTTCTCTCTTTGGTTGGCCTTTGAGGATAAAGATGAGGAACTTATTGAAAGAAACTTTTGAAAACCATTTCATATTTCATAAAGTTTCACATTGCTTTCAAGAGCTTACTTGTAATTTGCTTTTTCTGTCCTAATGGTTTAAGGTTTTTTTTTTTTTCCCCCCACAGATTACTAGATAGGGTTGTTCACCTGTCATCTTAAAAGTGTTTTCTGAATGAATAGGGTATTTTATAACTTTTAAAGCTTTAAGATAAAACAGATTAATAATTATAAAGAAAAACTATAGTTACTAGTAATATTTATCATAGTATATTGGTTGATAATACACATCATGTTACATAATGGTAGCAGGGTCTGTAGTTCGTAGAACCACTAGCATAGCTGAACCTGTTTGTTTTGTTTTGTTTTGTTTTCTAGAGAATGTTTGCCTGATGAGAGCCACGTGGGTTAAGAAACTACCCGTTAATATTTATTCATCGTTTCTGTCCTTTCTTCATTGAGAAACACTTTTAGAGGCTAATTTCCCAAAGTCCTACTTAAAAAAGAATTCTAGTTTTGTCTTGCTCTTCTAGTTGAGATAACACAGAGGCTTGAGGCTAGACTGTCATCAGCATACTGCTATCCTACTCATTTTTTCTTACTAAGCCTTATTGTGTGTAATGCTGTTACTTTTTCAGAGTGTTGCAGAGATAGGAACATGGGGGAGAAACAATCTGGATAACATGAAAGTGATGCTGCTGGCTAAGGGAAGACAACTTGATTCTGTGGGAAGGGCTGTAGCTGATCCATCTATTGTCTAGGTAAGTCTGTTTTTGTTGCAAAGACCTCACATGATTTGCAAATTTGTCAAAACTAGATGATGATTTCCATTTACCTTTATTTTGTGAATGGCGTAATTACCATCGTAAAATGAATAATGTCCTTTTCAAATAGTAATTTGTATAGTAAAATTTTAATGAATTATTGGATCTTCCCCATGTAATTGTTAATATATTTAGATTAATATATTTTTTGTGCCAAGGAAAATACATTCACTTCAATGGTAAATATATGAATGGACTAATATCTTGTGTATAGGAGCCAGAGAGAGCCCGGCATGTTGGCACACACCTGTACCCAGCTCCTTGGGTGGCTAAGACAAGAATATCGCTTGAGCTCAGGAGTTAAAGGCTCTAGTGCACTTACAGTAGTGCCTCTGAATAGGTTCTGCACTCCAGCCTGGGCAACAGTGCAAGACCCCTTCTCTAAAAGAAAAGCTTAATAAACATTGATAAATTATATCAGGGTTTATGTCCTCTGCGTTATTTAGTTGGTAAAACGTGGATAAAACCAAAAGTGAGTATTGAGGCAAGAACGTCCTTAAACCTTATGAGGTGTTTCTGAAGACTTCAACCAGGCCATTGATTACAGTTTCATACCTCCGCCTGCCCGCCCACCAGCCATGAGGTATTACATTCTGAGACTAATTATTCTGTCTGTCTGAAGAAGAGGAAAATAATATTTGTGTAAAATAGCAGGTAAGGATACTTTGAACAATGAAAGTACTTGTTTCAAAAGAAGGCCTAACTCATCTCTTAAAATTGCAATTTGGTCAATGATGGATATGTGCACTTATTCCATATTAAGAACACAGCAAGAATTATTTAGTGTTCCTGTTTTTTAGATAATAGAGCCTAAATACCTGTAAAAATGTTTTGGAAAAATAATTATTAAATCAAGATAAAATTTTTGATGAATCCAAGTTAAGCACCTGCAGAGCTATCCATAAAGACACAATCAAAAAGTGATGAGAGTTTTGTCGATATGACAGTCTTTTGTTGGATGATGCAAAAATCTTTCTTAAAGTATTATAAATGTTGTAGGTTTTCAAAATTTATCAGAGCCATCAGATTCTTGCAGATTACCTTATTCTAAATAATGGATATAAATTTATGAAAGGCAGTTTTTGAAATCTGAACTCTCATTGCAATTTTACATGAAGAACACTATAGGCAGATACCCAAATAAATATGTGTGGTATTTCAGGGGATATAAAGGGGAATACTTCATATTCACATCTGTGAATAATTTTTGAAATCCTAACCTGGAGTCTGTTCTTGTACAGATTTGAGTATGAGCACAGTGGAAGAGGATTCTGACACAGTAACAGTAGAAACTGTGAACTCTGTGACTTTGACTCAGGACACAGAAGGGAACCTCATTCTTCACTGCCCTCAGAATGGTAGGAGAACTTGCTGATACATAATTCTGACTCTTTGCAAAATTTCTGAATTCCGTGTCACTTTTGACCCCAATTGCCCAAATGAGTATAGGCTACACAGCAGAAAACGAGATTATCTCTTTCAGTTGAACATAAGTGTTAGCCTTTGTCAATCTTGTTGCTATATTGTAAATAAGATCTGTTGAGCCCCCAGAGATAATGAGGAAATAACTATAATATATACCTCTTTTTTTAATACTAATTGGTGCCAGCAGTATATTTAATACATTAGAAAATGTAGAATTAGTCCTCAATGCAAATAGATTCTGTTGTTAGGACCTATGTTAAAGAATTGTACACTGAATATGACTTAATATGATGATCTGCAATGAATTAAGATTCAGTAGCCTTCCAGCTGATAACTTTGTTGTTACTCCTCTACTTGCTGTTTGTTTATGCCATTTCTTTATTGTGCTTTTACGTTCATCTTTACTCAACCTTGGTTATCTTTTCACTCTACTCATAGTTCATAGGTTATTTAATTCAAACTTATGATTTTAACTAGCACCTACCTATAAAGATGACTCAGACTCTGTCTTTATACAGATTTATCTGTGCTTCTCATAGGCGCCTTAAGTTTCGTATGTCCCAAACAATCCTTACTTGTATTTACTTCCTAAACCTAGTTCTCTCTTTTCCTTTCTCTGTGAATTTCATTACTTAGTATGCAGATCATGAATGTGGTTGGGAATAAATCATTTCTCTCATTGCCTGCATAATTTCATTTGAAGACTTGTTGATAGTATTACGTTTTTAAAATCTATTGCATCCTCTCTGTTTCAAGCCCTCCTTTGTTAGTTTAAATTCTCCTTTTCATCCAGGTAGCTCTAATAGCCTTTTAACCATTCTCCTACCTATAATTCATCTTTCAAGCTGCTGATGAAATTATTCATGATACATTTAATAGCATAAAGTTTCCCAAGGTTTTTAGAATATAGTACAGGTTCTTTAATTTGGCCCATAGGTCTCCAGTCATTTCTGCTTTCCTCATAGTCTCACCACCTGCCGTATTTCATATACCTGTGTACCAGCAGATCACATTTTCCGAACGTACCTTAAGCTTTTCATACCTCCATGCCACTGCACATATTGCTTCTACTGCCGAGAGACAGCAGTTTTTCCTGGGCTTCCCTTCTCTTTTAAGTTTAGGACACCTCTTAACAGGAAACCTTCAGAAGTTGAATACTCCAATAGGCATAGAAAGGCAGGGTCCTTTTGAATCCTGTTTGCACAACTAGGTTTAGTTAAATAGCAAATGGGTAAGAAGATTGTTTTAATGGATAAGAAAATTGTTATAGAGTCATTATTAGAGATTTTGTTTTGCCTTATTGGTTTGAATTTTTTGAGATTTTTGTTTGTTTTCTTCCATTAGAAGCGGATGAAATAGACTCAGAAGATAGTATTGAACCTCCACATAAAAGACTTTGTTTGTCCTCTGAGGATGATCAGAGTATTGATGATTCTACTCCTTGCATATCAGTTGTTGCACTTCCACGTAAGTCACTATGTATTAAGAACACAGAATTCCCTTTTGACATCTAAATTTAGCTTGTAAAACATCCAATTGGCATTTCTAGATAGACTTGGACTCATTGCTTTTTTCTTCATTTAGTGAAAACACCTCTTTTTAACTAACAATAAATACAATGTGCCAGACATATCGTTAAATGCTTTTACATATATTGCCTACTTTAATCTTCCCGACCTTTTTTTTCAATTGCCCCACAAGGAGCCTTTTTAGACATTTTTTTTTCCCTGATTGTACTCTTTCTTCATGAAAAGTACAATATATCCTCAAAAATATCCTGTATTTCCTAATGTACTGTCTGTATGTCCTCGCTTTTGTTTATAAAGATAGTAAAATTTGTTGTCACATGCATTTCTCCCCATCCCAAGAACCGTATTTGTCCTCGTAGAGAAAGCATGCTTTATAAGAGATACTAACATTATTTATATTTTATAAGTCAGGAACCTGAGACACAGAAAATTATAATAACTTGACTAACAGCCATTCTAGGCATTCTGGTTCCTGTAGTACATACTCCTAACCCCAGTGCCATATTGCCTCTTCAGTATGCTATATGATAACATGAAAGTTAGATAGAACCCTAATTAGTTTATTCTTGCCAAGAAAGTTTTTAATGTGTTTCTATTCCAAGATTATTTAAAGTAGACTGGATTCTATAGGAGGTATAATATCTCAAGTGTAATACTGTTGGCACAAGACAGCATACCAACTGCAACATTAGATTGTATTTCTGATTTGCTTAGCAAAGAGTATGGAGTGTTCAGGAAGATTCCAGAGTAGATGCCTTAATCCATGGCAGTGGGCACGGAGCACATGGCTGTTGGTGGCACTCTTAGCACAAAGGAGGGTTTTGCCATATCTGAGAACTTTGATTTTACACTCAGCATCAGGCAAAATCACATCTTCATCTTTTGAAAAAGGAAGACTAGGTTTTGAGCATGGAAAATTGTATCTTAACAAGTAGATATGTACTCTGAATTTAGAGTTAATTTGCTTGCTCAATTGAACAGAAAAGAAACTTTTAGTTTACTATTAGACTATACTGAAAAACAGTGTTAATATTGCTTCCAGTTGTGGCATAACCAAGCATAACGTATTTATAATTAAATATTCTTTCTTCCTAATGATGATTCCTATGTTTTCTTAAATCTTTCCTATGTTTTCTTAAATCTTTCCTAATTTGACTATTATTATGTTGTAATTCAATTCTAAAACTTAACTGGCCTTTCTAAACAGCTGTCATCCTAAGTATTTTCTAAAGTAGAATTTTTGAGTGGCTATTTTGATATAAATTGACTTTAACCAATTCATTTGGTTAAAGTGAGATACCTTGTTCATGATTGTATGTTCAAAGTATACTTGATATTTTGTTTTATTTTATGGTGTAACCAAATCCTTCAGGTCACTGTTCACTTAGCTTCAGATAATAGAGATATGTTGACATGAAAGCACATGAGCTGCTTTATGAGGGATCATAGCATCATCACATATGGAAGACACTGGAGCATAATATTTAGCAATAAGACTGATACAGTTTATCTGTGTGGATCGTAAAAATCCTCACAGCATCAGCCTAACTCATATTAATCATTCTAACTCACTAACCACTTATTTTTGTAGTCATCTGCCACTACATTTATCTCAATCCCTATTTGTAGTTATTACTATATGGTGATTACAGTATTCATCTAGATGATTCTTTCAGTACCTTACTCCCTTATTCCTTTTGTTCTCTATTTATTACTTCCTTTACCACTCTTACCTATTTCTGGAGTTCATTTGTGATCTATTTCAGACTTGCTATTTTCCTACCACTACTTCTATCTTTCCAGCTCACTTCTTGTAGTACTCTTGAACTCCTGAAGTCTTTTGCCTCACTGGGACCTGCTGATCCTATTACTTTTTTATTGTTCCTTCTCTGTTTGTATCCTTTCTTTTCATTTTACCCTGTTTCACTTTTATGGTTAATCTTTATAATCACTATAATCACTGTCTTGCATTCACCAAGTCCTTTGTTTTTCTCTTACTTCACTGTTTGGTGAAATCATAACTGTCCAAATCTATCTTTGCCTATTTATGTCTGTACTAGTGCACCTAATTGAAAAGGATTAGAGAAAAATGGCACAAGCAGGCTGACTATTCTCACTTTAATTCCTGATCACTAACCTGAAGTGGGCTCCTAATGGTGCCCACCAGTAACACCAGTTTTCTAGTGTTTTTTTTTTCCACTCTGAGATGACTATTTCATAGCTCCTGAAACTTTTGAATACCTCTTCCACCTTTTTACTTTGAGCTAGTAACCCTGCTTCCTCTTCACTAAGAAAATTGAAGTAACCAGAAAATAATTTCTACCAATTCCCACTACCACAAATATATACCCACCTGCATCTATGTCCATATATTTGTTATCCTATCTTAGACTTAGCCTTCCATTTACTAGGTTTCATCCCCTTTACCTACTCAAGGACATTGTTCCAATTATTATTTTGTCTCTTCTGTATCACCAGTTTTTCGTGTACTAAATCATTCTTATTGGTATTGCAAACGTACTGTTATTTTTTCTTTAAAATAAAAAGTCCCTGGTCAATCCCAGCACTTTGCAAGGCCAAGGCAGGCACTTTGCTTGAGCCCAGGAGTTTGAAACCAGCCTGGGCAACATGGCAAAATTCTGTCTCTATGATAAATACAAATTAGCTGATACAGTGGTGCACACCTGTATTCTCAGCTACTAGGGAGGCTAAGGTGGGAGAATCTCTGGAGCCTGGGAAGTTGAGGCTGCAGTGAGCTGTGAGCATGTCATAGCATTCCAGCCTGGGCAACAGAACAAGATCCCGTCTAAAATAAATAAATAAAAAGTCCCTTTAGCTCACCTTTGGTCCTTATTCAATTTTTCTCCTTGTGTTTAGAGCAGAATACCTTGAAAATTACCTATATTTGCCTTCATTTCCTTTCCCCCATTTTTCCTTAAACTTAATCCAATCAAGCTTTCACCCCTTAACTAAACTGTTTTTCTCAGCTCTCCAAAGACCTTCTTGTTGCCAAATTCAGTGGCCACTTTTTTAGTCTTTGCCTTTCTTGATCTGTCAGAAACTTTTGACAGTATTTATTATTCCTCCTCCCTGAAACATTTTCACTTGACTTTTAGGAAACATTCTCTAGTTTTCTATTTTTCTGTCCATTTCTTCTTAGTCTCTAATGCTGACTTTTCCATGTCACCAGAACCTCTAAATGTGGAGCACCCCAGGACAAAGTCCTTAGACTGCTTCCTTGTTTTCTTTACTCACTTTTTAGGTGATCTCAACTTGAGATTTTAAATACTATCTGGTGTTAACTGCCGGATTTATTCCAGACCAGACTTCTCACTTTCTAAATATATGGTAGTTGTCTCAAACTAATGTGTTTAAAGTAGAGATTCTATAACTTCCTAAATCCTTAAATTTGCTTCTTTTACAATCTTCAACTAATTAGTAGCAAGTGTATTCCAGTAGTTTTGATTTAAAAAAAAAAAAAAATGTAATGTTATCCTTGAGTCTTCAGTCTCTTCTATCTCGTTTGTCTACAAATCATATTGGCTCTGCCATCCAAAATACATTCACAATTTGAACTCTCAGTTGCCTTCACCCTAGTCCAAGCCACTGATAGATCTTGATTGCATTTGCCTCTTAACTGATCTCACTCCAACTCTTGCTGCCCTTCAAACTGTTTTTCTTATAGCAGCCAGAGTGAGCCTGTTACAATATAAGATTACTTTATTCAAAATCTTCCAGTCGTTTCCCACCTAAGAGTTAAAGCCAAAACCTTTTGGCTTAGAAGGCCCTGTACAATCTCCTGCATGTTCTTATTTAGTCTGTTTTAGCTACACTGGCTTCCTTGCTATTCCCATGAACACTCCAAGCATGCCCCATCTCAGAGCCTTTGCACTTTGGCTCTCCTTGAAAAGGTCGTCCTTAAGACACCTGCAAAACTAGCTTCCAACCTCACTTTGTTCTCACTTTTCCTAGCTCCTATATAAAATTTCAAATACTGTTCTTCATCCCAACACATTCTCTTTCCTGTTCTATTTTTTCTCACTGCTTATCACCATCCAACATATTATCTTGTCCATTTTGTGTCTTTCCCCACTAGAATATAGGCTCCAAGAAGAAAGGATTTTTGTTTCCCCAGCCCCTAGAGCAATACCTACTATGAATTAGGTGCACATTAAGAATCATTAAGCAAATGAACATATACATGTGAAGATGTATTAACAAGGAGCGTGTTAGGAAATTAGGTGATTGTGTTTTTTTCCCATGGATATTTTTAGAATAATCAGAATTTGCCATTATTATTTTGGAGATGAACTGTTCCTTTTCTTGAAGTTTCAGAAAATGATCAGAGCTTTGAGGTGACCATGACCGCGACCACAGAGGTGGCAGATGATGAGGTTACTGAGGGGACTGTGACGCAGATCCAGGTATAGTAAATCTTTTAACTGGCCTCGGGAGGATGATCCTTTACACATTGCTTAGGTGATAAAATGATAAGAAACCTCAGCCTCCCAAGTAGCAAGGACTACAGGAACATGCCACTGTGCCCAGCTTTGGCCCTTATTACAAAACAAATTATAAAGTTGTTTTGTTTTGATTACTGCCAAAGAGTTAATGAGTTATAATTTAATATTTAGCCTCTTGGTTTGTTATCACCATTTTAGTGAACAAAAAACTTTTCATAATTTCTAATATTTGTTTAATAAGATTAACTTTAGACACAAAATGGACAAGATGTGAATTGAAAGTCAGCATGGTTTAAAAGTTCAGAAATAGTCTGTTTCTGACTATATCTTTGCTGTAAACCAGTTGCAGCTATTTGGCGTAGTTTGGCAGTTAATGTACTGTGTCTCATTCCACTAATGAGACTAGCTTGAAAAATAATTAGAAACTATTGTAAGTCCCTATATATAGTACTTTGTGGTTGCAAGAGGTCTTCAGTCAGCTGAATATTTTAGATTTATAAGCCTTATATATATTATAGACATGAAATCCTGCAACCAACTCGTAAAAGCTTCATTTTAAAAGCAACAGCATACTACATAAAGCTGAGTAAACTTAATAGATGCATAAAGTAAAATATAGGAATACTGTAAAGCTTATTAATATTTATATACAAAGTATAGGTAGGTATATAAATACCCTTCAAGGTACTTAAGTCTCCTGCTGTACTCACTGAACTCATTTGTTATTGACAGTGTTGAATACTTCTGCTAAATAATTATTTGCTCATTTGATGGCTATTTAAATGTTTAAATAGCCATGTCTAAAGACACTACATGACTTACATGATCACTGTAACTCTTGAGAGGGAAAATTTGAGCCATAAGTCATTAAGTGTTTACCCCAAAATAGTGGTTAATTAGCATGACAGACTTATTCCTAAGGTTCACGGAATGGGCTCTGCTATATAGACATACTTTGAGGAATGGTGATTTGATTCTTATATCCAACTGGTTAATTTAAGAGATGATCATTTAAGAGAATTTTCTACATTATAGTTCTTAAAAGTGAGTATGTATCAAGGTCTTTTGATAGCTCTCTGTTATACTGTTTACTGATGTATAACTCCAGGATCAAATCTTGTAGGAATTCACTCAAGGTGGTGGAAAAAATATTAAAGGAAAAACAGTAGAAAAAGTTACAGAATATAGTCTTGAACCCTTTTAGAAAGCCTAAAAGTTTTTTCATAGTTACAGTTGAAGTTTCAGCTGGAGGCAGCCTAAATCCCCTTTACATTTAGTTAATAAGTAAAGCAAATAGCTAAAGTATGTGGAGTTTACCTAAATAACTTGTTTACTTGTGTGGTCTTAAAACTAACCTTTGAGCCAGATGGTCCTCTCAGGAGAAGGTTGACCAAGGAAATTACCGTCTAATGGTGTTTGCTTTAAGCATCATCACCTGTGCTTTAGTCTTCATTATAGTGGTGTTGACTTGGGCTTTGTCAATTAAACTTTGCTAAATAAATGCAAGTCTCATTGGCTGAGGAAGACTGGCAGCAAAGTATCTGTAAAGAGGCTGTGGACCCTCAGCCGAACTGGTGAAGCATAATATCTGTGTGTCAAGTGTACTTTATTCATCCGTCGCTGAGTCAGGGTCTACAGGACAGACTCCCGACAGTGGTGCCCAAACATGGGGAAACCCCAACAAATCTTATAAAATTGTAACAAAGGTCTCTCTTGATTAAAAAAAAATAACAAAACATATGACACATAGAGGGATATAAAACTTTTCACACTTGTTCCAGTGATTTCCAGCTTTTTGCCCATGGTTTCAAAAACACTTTCATAACACACTATATGTATTACCTCCAGATATAAAGAGATGTGGCTTTTCTCCTAATTGCACCATGGTTGTCCCCTGATAGCTTATCTCTTTCCAAGAGAGATGGGTTTCAATTTCTCTTCATATTAGAAGTTCAGTTTCTGCTTATTCAAGTAGTATTAGTCCAATCCTTCTTGGGATTTACCTTCAGCCAGTGACATTGCTAGTTTTTTTAGCCTAGAGACTGAATTGGGTTGAGTGGTCACTAAACATGTGACTTTTCCCTTATTCTGCCCATGATAGGCTATTACCTGATATGGTAGCACTGTTTTTGCCAGGTCTTCCTCATATACTTTATAGTTCTCTTCAGGCCTTTCAGGCCAGGGTCAATTCTGTTGAAGGCATCTCCCCACCGACCAGCAGATTTTGTAACTGAAAATGTAGCTGGTGGTAGTTGCACAGAAAACTTAGCTGCTTTAAGAATAAGTAATACCATGCAGTTCTTTGAGAGGAAGATAGGTTAATTAGGCTCTAGAGGTTGGTGAAAACAAAGTTGTCAGAAAACAATACGCAGACCATGATTTTGCAATAATGACTTATGATTTAGCCTGTTAATCTTTTAAGTTAAGCAAAAGATTACATCATTGGTGATTTAGGCAGCAAGCATATCTCTGAGGGTGTTAACAAATCATAACACCCAACCCTAGCAGTTACATTTTCCTGTCTAGAACAGATAGCTGTATATTATTGAGCTTATTTATATATGTAAATATTTAAATTTTCCTGAATATTCTATGTTGATTTAAATACTTAATAGACTCTTGGCCCATTTTATACATGGTACATTTACTTGCTTAAATGAAGGTCGTATTATGTTAATGCATATAATTTTGTTTTCATACTGCTATAATAAAAACAGCAAGCAATTTTTTTTGTAAATTGAATATATTTTTACTATATCTAAACCAAGTGAATTCCATATTACTATATTAAAATTTTATAATGCCTAGAATTATCAAGATGAATCAGGTTGGGCATTAAATCAATCTGCTCCCCCTTTTTTTTTTTTTTTTTTTTTTTTAACTTTTACCTTTTCAAGATTTTGCAGAATGAGCAACTAGATGAAATATCTCCTCTGGGTAATGAGGAAGTTTCAGCAGTTAGCCAAGCATGGTTTACAACTAAAGAAGATAAGGATTCTCTGACTAATAAAGGTAAGATATACTGTGAATTTTAGTGCCCAGTGGAAAAAAATGGAGATAGAGAGGGCTTATAGTCAAAAAGATTCTGAATTGGACCTTTGTCATTGGAATTTAGCAATTAAAGTAGTTGAGCTTTTCTAACTGAAATAAATTTGACCCCAAATGACTTTGAATTAAGGTTATGAAACCACCATCTGTTTTTCAGTAATTATTTTTCTCCTTCTGATTGGAAATAAATTTTGTCTTGTTAATTTTTGAACAAACGTATAGTGGTGTCATCTAAGACAATACAGTTATTGCTTATGGGAGTAGGAAGTCAAGCCTTTTCAAGAGTCTACCAACTTTGGTCTGATAAGTGGCTTAGAGGCTCAAGGTAACATAGTGTTCATAGTGCTGGCTATGCTCAAGCATAGCTGGGAAAGCTGCTACCAAAAAAGTGAGCATTGTATCTATGCCACTCTGAAGGACAAAAAGGAAGCAGAAAAACGTAAATCATTTTCAAGCACTGTGTAGTAAATGCTCATTAAGAATACAGTATTCACTTGGTATTCAATATTTACCTTGCCCTACAGTCTTTCGTATATGTTCTTCAGCCCATAAAATTTTCATTGGAGAAGTTTTTCAAAAAGTTTTGAGCATGATTTGGCCTTTCTTATTTTTATACATCTCTTTTTAGCAGTTTTGTACTGCCGAAAGGGCGAGAGATAATAGTTTTAAAATCTATAATTACCATTGTCTTTTTTTTAGTAGGGTCAAATAAATGTATTCTAGCCTAAAAACCAGAGGTTACAAAAGCAAGTTTACCTAGAGACCTTTTAGATTTCAGAGGAATTAGAAATGAAATTAGCTACATTTTATCCCTAAATATAATTTAATCACAAAGGAAATTTATTGTTTTCTTTCAAGGAGTAACATTTTTTATAACATTGCTTGTTTTCTTTTAAAGGACATAAATGGAAGCAGGGGATGTGGTCCAAAGAAGAAATTGATATTTTGATGAGCAATATTGAACGCTATCTGAAGGTATCTCACAACAAATTTTTATGTTTCAATAATTTGTTTATTGCCAATTGCAGAAATTGACACAGCATATTGTATGTACTTACTAGGAGCTTCTTGCTTATTTTGTAATGGATGATTGGGTAACATAGCCCAATAATTCTAAAACATGTTATTATAATATAATAATATTTTGAATTCTCACTTTAAAATAGCTTTGCTTCTTTAGTTACCACCCTTAAGTTTAGATAAAATCCTAATAGCCTCTCAACATTTTAAAGCTTTATCTTTTCAAGAAGCCTATAGAGTTTAATTCATGTTGTTTAAAGCTTAAGGTATGCATCTTTGGTTTTTTTTGTTTTGTTTTTGCTTTTGAGATGGAGTCTTGCTCTGTTTCCCAGGCTGGAGTACAGTGGCACAATCTTGGCTCAGTACAACTCTGTTTTTCGGGTTCCAGCTATTCTCCTGCGTCAGCCTCCCGAGCAGCTGGGATTACAGGCATACACCACCATGCCCAGCTAATTTTTGCATTTTTAGTAGAGACGGGGATTTCACCATGTTGACCAGGCTGGTCTCAAACTCCTGACCTGAGGTGACCCACCCATCTCGGCCTCCCAAAGTGTTGGGATTATAGCCATAAGCCACCATGACTGGCTAAAGTATGCATCTTTGAATGAATTTTTCATGTCATACCAGCCCTTCTCTTCTAAAAAAATTAAAATTTAGTTAATTTTCTTATTCAGGTTTATTTCTTGTTCACTTAGTACACTTCATTAACATCCTTTGAACACGGTAGTTTTTAAGTATTGGATTGTATTAAGGCATGGATTGCTTTAACACACAGTGTTTGCCTTTGAAGTCAGTGATCCATTTGGGCAGGCTGGAAACAGGTGAAGAATGATACAAAGCTTTGTATCATGTGAGTGGTACATGTGAGTTCTGTACAAGTTTACAAAAAGAGTTTTTAGAGCAGTTACGAAAATTTTGGAAGAGCAAGGATTTGAGCTGTCTTAAAAGAGTGGAACTTGGGCTAGAGTAGAACCGGAGTGAACCACATGAATGCATGTTGAAGTGGCAAGAAATCAAAGATCCAAACCAACACACATTAAACCCTTTACCTTGAACTGAGATAAGTAGCCTCTGGAAAACTAGGCTTTGAAGTCCATGCCGAAGAATTAGAACTTTATCCTATAGGAAATGAGAAGGTATTAAAGGGTTTAAGAAAAGCTAGTAGTTTAGTTGAGTAAGAAATTGGTGGGGTAGATCAGTATTCTCAAGGAAATCTTTCCAGGGACTTGCTGATCATCTCTGTAATGGAGTTAGAATCAAATAGTGTTATGTCTGAAGTGTAGACCATTAACACATTTAGGGAAGGATGGTATACCTTCTCCTGTCATTTGATTAATCGATTGCTTACTATTTTCCATGCTACACTAATGTGGAAATACAGTGCTGCCTAGAAGGTTCACATTTTGAAGTTTTAATTTTAACTGCAACCTTCCCAAGCTAACCTTTGTGAAATGCAGAATTTTAAAACTTTAATTATTCACTAATAAATGAGATCTTTCCACCATGTTTGTTGTTTTAAGAGAAACAAATACAATGGCCTTTGAAAATGAATCCAGAAGTGTGTTTAAGTTGTCCACTAGTCACATATGGTTTAGTTATACCTGGAAAATGCTATTAGTTTAGATAAAGCAGTAACCAGTGCCAAGGAACAGTGAACTTCGGGAATTAAGCTGGTTTCTTATATAGGGGATCGAAGTAGATAATCTCCAAGGACACTTCCAATTTAGTGATTAATGAGCAGAAGTGAGTAGGAGAGCTTTTAGAGGACTGAAGTACACCAACTGAGAATTGATAGGGAAAGGGCAGATAACCAAGTAGTCTGTAAGGATGCCTGGTGACTAAATGTTGGGAAAGAGGGAAAAAAGGGTTGGAGCAACTTAAGAGTTTTTATTTTAGGTGACTGGGAGAGTGATGATTAGATGGGCAGAAATAGGAAATGTCCAAAAGATTATCTTGGAAAAAGATAATTTGTTCAATTTTTATTTTTGATCATAGCTTTTATTATGTGGTGCTCTTTTAAGAATTCTGTAGAGCCAGTTTTAAACTTCAGAGAATTCCAATTAGTTTGATGTCATAAGTTTCATATTTGGGTTAAAAAGATAAATGAGAGTGACTTCCACAAGAAAAAGGGCAAGGAGTGTGGAGGTAATAGAATCTTTTGTCTCACTATATGGTCATCCTGCAGCACAGTGTTCCTTGCATGTAGTAGCTCAGTAAATATTTAAGTTTAATCATTTGCAAAACTGGAACTGCATAAGTGAAATAATTTTAGAAAACATTCTAAAATTTAGAATTTTTTTGCTGTGAAGTTTCATACATTCAGAAGTGTATAAAATGCATACACTGATTTCACCTGTTTTAGAAATTTATATAAAGAGATTGATTCTCTGGATATTCTGTAACTTCTTTTGCTCAATATTATGATTTTAATATCATAAATATATATATAAATATAAATAAATATCAATGAAATAGATGTATTTCATTGTACAAATGTACAAGTTACCCATTTTTCAGTTAATGGTCAATAGGTTTTTTTTTTTAGTTTTTTGCTATTCATTTGTACAAATTTAGTGGGTGGTAATTATGGTTTTAATGTGTTTATCTGATAACATTTTTATATGCTTATTAGCTATTTGTGTTCTTCTTTGAAATTCCTGTTTGTGTCTTTCACCAGTTTTTCTGCGGGGTTACCTGTTTTGTTTGTTTAACTTAGATTTTCTTATGTATGCTGGGTGTTAATGGTTTACTGGTCATTTGTATTACAGATACCTTGTCCCAATTTAGTGGCCTGTCTTTTCTTTCTCTTTAGGTGTCATTTGATGTGAAAATATTGTTAATTGCAATATCAAATGCATTATCTTTTTTGTCTGTTTGTTCTGCATGCTTCCTTGTTTAAGAAATCCTTCCCTGCCTCAAGGGCATGAAGACATTCTCACATTATTTTGTAAAAGTTTTATAATTCTGCATTTCATTGCTGTAGGTGTGAGATATAATTTGAATTGTGTCTCTTTCTGTATAGATGTCCGTCTAATTCCTAATTTACAATGTCTATTCTGTCCTAAATCAAGCTGCCACAAATTTGTTTCTAGGTTTTCAGGTTCTGTTTGTTGATTACCTGTACCAGTACAGCACTGTTTTGAGAAGTCCCAGTATCCGATGGGCCCAGTCTCTCTATAAATGTCTTGGCTGTTCTTGGCCCTTTGTTCTTCTGTTATGAATTTAGAATCAGCTTGCAGAGAGTGAAACACTCAAATGGAGTTTGTTTTTTTTTTTTGTTTGTTTGTTTTTTTTTTTTTTTTTGAGGCGGAGTTTCGCTCTTGTTACCCAGGCTGGAGTGCAATGGCGCGATCTCGGCTCACCGCAACCTCCGCCTCCTGGGTTCAGGCAATTCTCCTGCCTCAGCCTCCTGAGTAGCTGGGATTACAGGCATGCGCCACCATGCCCAGCTAATTTTTTGTATTTTTAGTAGAGACGGGGTTTTTATTGGATGGTGTTGAATTTGTACATCAATTTGGGGGGAATTAATATCTTCATAGTATGTCATCTTTCTGTTGAAGAACATTGTATAACTCTTCATTTTAGTTCCTTTTCAATGTCAAGTTTTATATTTTCCTTCATAAAGGACATTGATAACTTGCCTCAGTTCTGATGCTCTAAATTTTGATGCTGTGTGGGAAGTTTTAAAAATACTACTTAAACTTTGTATGGAAATGCAAATAACTGCATATTGATTTTGTATCTAGCAACCTTGCTAAAATTAGTTATTTTTTAAATCACATAATTTTTCTTCATAGATTTTTGGTTTCTATATATCTATTACAAATGATTCTTTTTTTCCAATCTTTACATTTTTGCTTTTTAAAATCTGATTATCAGCGAATTCTAATTTGCTAAGACTTTATCATACATACATGAATATTGAATTTTATGAATGGTTTTCCCACATCTGTTGAGATTTTACTTTTTTTCCATAAATCTGCTGATGTGATTAATTACATTAATAATTTTCCTGAAATTAACACAAACTTGTATTCCTGGGATAAACTTTTTTACCTAGACATATTAATGTTTTTATACATTGCTGGGTTCAGTGTGCTAAAATATTATTAGGAAATCTATGTTAATGAATGAGTTTGACCTGAAAATTCTTTTCTGAAACTGTTGTTTTCTAATTTAACTATTAATATTATCCTAGCCTGATAAAATAAGCAAAGAAATGTACCCACTTTTTTTTTTTTTTTTTTTTTTTTTTTTTTTTTTTGCAAACTTTTGAATAGTTTAAGAACAAGATTATGTGTCTATTTGGTAGTATGTACCTATAATGTCATCCATATCATGTGGGCCTAGTGTTTTTATTGTGGGAAGATTATTTAATAACCGATTAGATTTTCTTGATGGTCTGTAGCTATTTGATTTTCTGTCTCTTCTAGAGTCATTTTTGGTAAGTTGAGGTCTTCTAGGAATTTATTCGTTTTGCCAAAATTCAAATTTATTACCATAAAATTGTTCATATTATTATTTTGTTAATGGTCTAATCTCTGCAGCATCTCTACTTAGGCCACATTTTTCCATTTCTAGTATTGTTTGTGTCTTTTAATTTTGGCAGAACTTTAATCATTAATAAAATCATTCAGATTTTATTAATCTTAATGGATATTTTCAAAGAATCAATTTCTAGATTTGTTTATCCTTTCTATGCTTTGATTCTGGATTCCATTGATGTTGCTCTTGTGATTTTCTTCCTTATACTTTCTTTAGATCTATTTTTAATTTTTTATAATTTCAAAAGGAGTTGACAGAAATTGAATTTATTGAATTTGATAGTTTATTCTTGGAATATTTAAGTGTCACTTATCTCTTGCAACATCTTAAAAGTTTATATTTGATTTATTAATGAATTAGTGATATATTCTTTTTCTAAATGCCATTGATGACCTTTAACATGAGAACAAATTTTAAAAGCATAGTATATCTATATGCATTTTCTCAGAAATCCCTAAATCAAAGAAATGTAACCCATTTAGGCACGCGGAATAAAAGATGCTACAGAAATCATCTTTGAGATGTCAAAAGACGAAAGAAAAGATTTCTACAGGACTATAGCATGGGGTCTGAACCGGCCTTTGTTTGCAGTTTATAGAAGAGTGCTTCGCATGTATGATGACAGAAACCATGTGGGAAAGTATGAAAACTTGTAATGCTGCATGTTTTCATGTAATTAGGGGAGATACTTGAGGAACTGTCCATTTTTTAAAACGTAGAATTATGGTCAAGGTATTAATTGAAGACAGCCATGAATTATTGTTAATATTTTTATCCCCCAGGTCCATGTTGTGAATATGGTAAAACCTTATTATTAAAGCCTCTTTTAGAAATTAGATTGTAATTCACTTTATATCGGTTAGATTTAAGACTTGGCCGACTAAATATGTCAAAGTCTGCTTTGTAGTAAAATAACATAAAAAGTACAGTACTGGTTAAAGATTTAAGAAGTTTGAAAATAACTTGAAATTTATTGGTAACATTTTTCCTATTTGTTTTTAGAATACAACATTCCTAGGTCAGTGGCCTTTTTTCTTTGTTTTAAATAAAACCAGAATGGAAAACAATGACATTTCTGGAAACAATGCATGGATTTCTGTATTTATGGGAAGGCACCATTAAGATTTTTCAATGCAATGATTATATATTGTTACTGACATTATTTTAAATTTCTGTTTGGAAATTTTAGGTGGCAGTAGTTTGGCTTATCAGATACTACTGAGCTTTTTCTCTAGCTCTTCAGCAGCCTGCTATGGAAAGTACATTTGAAAGCTGAAGGGGATTAAATTATGTTTTTATGATGATGGAAAAGGAGAAATAATTTTTAAATGGAGCATAAAGGACTTGTTAACTATTCATAAACCGTCCATGCATTACAGATGGTTAAACAGTGATCAGCCTTTCATAATTATTAAATGGACATTTTTAAAAAGAACATTGCATTGGCTGTATTGAGTACTTGCCTGCTGAACTAAAGGGCAAGAGTATGTGAGATGTCCATACCTGGGTAAAGGAAGAGAATTTTAATTTTTTTAGTGCTTTCAGAGAATTTTTGGTAGATATTCTTCTTAGCTTTAGTTTATAATGTCACTCGTAGTGTTTTTGTTTGTCTTTGTTGTGTTTTTTTTTTGGAGTGGTTATGACTTGAGAGTGCCAAAACCTAAATTTAAATAAAGGAAGTATTAGGCAGCATGGGAACAGATGTATGTTTTAAATGTTGATTTTTTTTTTTCCTAGAGAAAATTACACAGTCTGTCTTTATTATAACTAAAAATATTTACTGTTTAAAAAAAATAAAAATAGAAACATTTATTTTTCAACTTTTTTCTTTTTTTAAACTCAAGTAAGCTGTTGCCCAGGCTGGAGTGTAGTGGCATGATTTGGCTCACTGCAACCTCTGCCTCCCAAGTTCCAAGCTATTCTGCTGTTTCAGCCACCCTAGTAGCTGGGATTATAGACACCCGCCACCACTCCCAGCTGATTTATGTATTTTTGATAGATACGGGGTTTCATCCTGTTGGCCAGGCTGATCTCGAACTCCTTGTCTCAAGTGATCCGCCTGCCTTGGCTTCCTAAAGTGCTGGGATTAGAGGCATGGGCCACTGCGCCCAGCCTATTCTCAACTTTTATTAATCCACTTAAAATGGGTTACTTTGAAACTATTATCATATGCTAAGTAACTTAACATTCAGCTCCCTAAATGAAATTCTGATTTTTATTAAGGTTTTTAGTATTCGTTGTTTTAACTGATTTTTTAAAAATTTCTCTGAATTTCTAGATATACACCTGAAGAAATTGAGAAGCTCAAGGAGTAAGTTTTAAAGTTTTTCATTAATTCTGATTGTTGTTTTTTGTGTCTTACGTCCTTAAAAGTTTTACTTTGAAAATTTTAAGAGGTTTTTGGCAGACTGGTATAATTTAATTCTGCTTTTAAGCATGATTGACCTTAAAAAGATCACATCAAATCCATACTTGCACAAAATAACCATTCTCATCATGTGTAAATCTAGTCTCCTGTTGCCATTCACCAGATGCTTCCTCAGACCACTAATAGGGGTTCCAGAAGAGATTAAGGGGCCATTTTTGGTTGCCTGAAAACTAAATTTGGGGAATTTATATACCAGGATCAAAACCAGCATTGTGCTACATGGCTTACTTTAGAATGGTGACTTGGCAAATGTTTCAGTGAATATCTGGGCTGACTCAACCTTGCAAAGTCTATTGAATCTCAGGAAATATAATTTTGCTTCATTGAGTTAGGCCGTAAAGTATGGTTTAATGAATTATATGGATCATGAACAAAATTGAAGACAGATTCTGTTTATAATGATAAAGACCTGTGAAACTTTTTTAGATGTCTAAAGAATTTGTTGGGTATATGCTCAAAAGGGAAAGTCTGGGGCTTGCCTAGGAGATTGTGTCAGTAACCTGAGGGGAAATTGGTCTTTTTTGAACACATATCCAAGTTACTTATTTCTTCTCTGACCCAGGAAAAAGGCAATTGCTGCCTGTTTTTTTTTCACCCACAGACAACTGTGGACCCCAAAAAAAGGCCACACTTTCAAACTTTGGCTCTCAAAGTATTGCTGCCCACAACTTCCAAACCAGTCAAATGGGAAGAAGAAGAATGAAGAATAAATGATGAAATTAAAAGGGAGAAAACAATTGAACCAAATGCTGATTGGCAGACTCTTGTTTTAGGCTCCGGATAAAGCATGGCAATGACTGGGCAACAATAGGGGCGGCGCTAGGAAGAAGTGCATCTTCTGTCAAAGATCGGTGCCGACTGATGAAGGATACTTGCAACACAGGTACTGTGACTGCTACTGGTAGTGTTTTCTTGTCACCACTTAAGCCTCCTGCCCCTTAGGATACTGCCTTTCTTTTGTTCCGGGGGAGCAATTTAGATCATTCACCTTAGTTCAGACTTCTTCTAGTTTTCCTTTTACTTGAGCTTACTAGATATATCAAACCTTCGTTTACTTTGTTTTTGTATAACCTAACATTGTCTTCAGGGACACAACATCACCTTAGTGTCAAGATGATTCAGATCTAACATGTTTCAGTTTTGTAGCTATTTCAGTACTTTCCCAGGTGAGAAAGTATTTTGAAGACAAATATGCAGCAAGTAATTTTAATTTAGGTCCATCTAACTGTTGAATTTACATTAGCAACAGCTAATCAGTGAGTGTTTATGAAAAACTTTAGTCACAGGTAAATCCCAAATTAGGAAGAAGCTGTGTTCCAAAGATTTGTACGTATTTTGCTTATTTTAAACTCAAAGTATGTTTTTCCAGAGAAAAAATTTATGATTAGTGTTTCAGTCCCCAGGCAAGACTACAAATGCCTCTTAATGCACACAAATGGCCTGAGGATAGTGTTAAACTTAATCTTTGCAACCAACGAAAGTATTTAGGCTCTGCCATTAACTGTCATTTAACCTTTCTGAGCCTCGATTCCCTCTGTAAAACAAAGAGATTAGATGATCTTGTAGTGCCCTTTTAGCTATAATGTTCTCTGAAAGATCCACAATCTATGCCCAGTTTTTCAATTAAAAAGTTCTCAAGGTTAGCTTTAGTTTCTAAGGCATACTTTTTTTGTCCTTAACCCCCTGCTCTACTAAAATGAAATCAGAGCTGTTTCCTGCCTAACTACTACACTATCACTGTTACCTGCAAGGCAGTGAGAACATAAATACCACCAACTTTGTCATCCTGTGACATGGCTAGTTTAATGAAAGAAGCAGGGCTGTACGCTTTAGATTTAGGATAGGATATCAGAGTTCATGTAAGATGCTGTGAGTACAGAACCTCTTGGTAACATAATTGGAAGGACACAGTGCCATTCCCTGATTGCCAGCCTCAGGGATTGATTGATCTGCCTGCTTCCTTCTCATGTTGTGACATCTTCCCATGAGGCCACATCATGAAACAGGACAGTCTCAAAGTATTCCCATCCTTTCACATCATGCTAGAATAGGAGAGTAGGACTTTGTCTTGAATCCATCCACAGTATTCAGAACTGTGCTTAGCATATAATGAAAATTCAATAAGCATTTACTAGATGAATGGATTCCCGAAGCAAGAACACAGTCTTTTTGGAATTTTATAGAGGTTTTTAGCTAGTAATAACAAAATGGAAACAGAGGTAAAGATGATTTAAAAAAAAAAATTCTTTTTTCTGTTCTTCTGCTCTAGCTCCATAAGAAAAAGACCAAGAAGAACATTTGAGATTATCTATTACAGGGTTTATGGGTTGAGGAAACAAAGGAATAAAAATATGTATAAATACTTGTATCAGACTTTACTAATATTTCATCACAGTAGCTGGAGTTGGGATAGTGGGAAATGAAGATGGTAGAAACCGAGTTTTTACTAAAATAGGTTGGGCCCATTAGTGTTATTTCCTTGTCCCTCATCATTCATCCCTATAAGTAATGGCCTTTTGAACTTGGTCCACTTTTGCAGAGCAGGGAATCTTAGGTGAGAGTAAGAAAAACAGCATGCCATTTCTTGTTTATTCGCCACTAATGAAGCTCTTCCCTTTTCACTATTTCTAGATAAAGAACTTAGTGTAACTTCAGAATACATTCTTCTTTGTAGTTTCATAATTGGTCAGTACTTTCCATTGGGATTATTTTCTTTCCTACTGAGACCCTTACTGGGCTAGTAAAACGAAACTGTTTTAGTGGAAATATATGGTTTCCCACGAGAGGGTCATTCAGAAACAAACGCTTGGCACTACTGCATACTTCCCATCAGTCCTTGTAAATACAAGAGCTGAATCAGATTTGTAAAAGAAGTTAGCAGTGGTAGTCTGGATAATTTCCTTCTTTCAGGGAAGTGGACAGAAGAAGAAGAAAAGAGACTCGCAGAAGTGGTTCATGAATTAACAAGCACTGAGCCAGGTGACATAGTCACACAGGGTGTGTCTTGGGCAGCTGTGGCTGAACGAGTGGGTACCCGCTCAGAAAAGCAGTGTCGTTCTAAATGGCTCAATTACCTGAATTGGAAACAGAGTGGGGGTACTGAATGGACCAAGGAAGATGAAATCAATCTCATCCTCAGGTTTGTGTCCTTAATCTTATAATGACAAAAGCCACTTAATTGCTGTGGATGTTTTGATAGACTTTCCCCTTTTGGTTTCCCTAGATGCCTAGAGTCTAAAAACTATCCTTAGCATAGAGCACTGTTTAAGATCCTAAGTATTTCATATTGAGCTCTTTTTATGTTTTGTTTTGTGTTTGTTCCTTTTTTAGTGGATTTAGTGCTCGTGCAAAGTACCAGATTGAAGGCGTGGAGACTGAAGTCCTCTCTATATCCACAGAACAGGTATGGCACAGGCAGCGGCAGTGCAGCTTTTCCACTGTCCCACCAATGTGCCTCAGTACTAGCCCAGGGGGACCACGTTTAGGATAAGAGGGCTGTTCAGTCTCCATGCCCTTCAATCCCTGGCTACTATGCTAAGATTGCCAAGAAGGGGGGCCTAGTCTGTAGTTACCTCCACACCTTCAAAGTCGACCAAGTCAAACACATCCATTTCATATAAATTCAAAAATAGCTTTAAGATATCATAATCCCAGCTTATTTTTTAAAGTAGTTGGTTTAACCATTAAGACTCATTAACTAAAATGGGCAAAAATACTAGCAAGAAATTATTTAAGACCCTGAGGTAATAGAGACTGTCACCGTGGCTACTCCCTACTGAAAATCAAATCATCACGACAAAGCCAGAAAACAGATTTTTTTAAACCTCAAATTTCGTTGTACTATTGTTATTTTTCAATTGCACCTACTGTTTTTGTGTCATCTTGTTTTGTATTTTGTATTTAATATAGTTTTTTTTCCCAACTCGTCATCTTTTTTAAATAGCTCATTTCTAAATATTTTTGTTTAACAATAGAAACACTCAGATGCAGGAAATAAATGACTTAATTAAATGCCATACTATGAAACATTGCAGGAACACTATACAACTAAATCTATTCTTATTAACCTTTAACATACTCCATTTCCTTCACAGTGCCTCGTCTGGTTCTAACCATTTACGGTTTAGCCTACTGGTTGTACCTTTAACAAAAGGATGTTGCTGCTGGTATTTCTTAGATGTTAGCTCTGAAAGTAGATCTGCACTCCTGGAACTTAACAATAGCATCTCATTGGCATAACCTGGCGTTCCCTTTACTTGCCAGTGCCATCACCTGTAGTCAGAGGAGGGGTTCTCACAGAAAAATTAACGTATAACAGATGCTTATTTTGTAACCTGTAGGATAGCAGAACTTGATGTAGCTGATGAAAATGACATTAACTGGGATCTGTTAGCTGAAGGATGGAGTAGTGTCCGTTCACCACAATGGCTACGAAGTAAATGGTGGACTATCAAAAGGCAAATTGCAAACCATAAGGATGTTTCGTTCCCTGGTAATGTATTACTTGCTTTTTAAGCTCCTCCCTTTTCTTACTATATTTACTCTTTAGTAGTGAGAGGTTAGAAGTTCTTTGCCTCAGCTGAAGAGATATCATAGCAGATTTCTACTTATACTTCTGCCCTGTTTCTCTAATTGTTTTCTTCCCCAGAGAAGAATTAATGTGGTTTGTAATTCCTAAAGCTCCTAAAATGAAAATGTACACACTTACACTCCTCCTTGTTCTTCTCTGTCAACTATGAGGAGGAAGTAAAATCTGCATATACAGTCATGCCACATAACGGTTTAATTTTTATGTGTTTAAAGACAGGGTCTAGCTATGTTGTCCAGGCTGACATGCAGTGATGTGATCATAGCTCATTGTAACCTTAAACCCGTGGACTCAAGTGATCTTCCCACCTCAGTCTCCTGAATAGTTACGACTACAGGCACACACCACCATGCCCAGCTAATTTTTTTTTTTTTTTTTGGTAGAGATGAGGTTGTGCTGTTACCCAGGCTGGTCTCCAACTCCTGGGTTCAAGTGATCCTCCCAGCTCAGCCTCTTAATGTGCTGGGATTACTTATATGAGCCATCATAGCTGACCACTTACAACCTTTCAGTCAACAACAGATGTCATAGTATTGGTCTCACAAGATTAAAATACTGTATTTTTACCCTGTTTTTTTCTATGTTTAGATACACAAATATTTGCCATTGTATTAGTTGCCTACAGTATTTGGTTTGTAGCCTAGGAGCAACAGACTATATCCTCTAGCCTAGGTGTGTTGTCAGCTTGTACCATCTAGAATTGTGTAACTATACTCTGATGATCCCATGACAAAATCACCTAACGACTCGCATTTCTCAGAACGTATCCCCATCCTTGAGTGATTGATGACTATTTTTATTTTGTACAAAGATATACTTCGGAAAACCTAAGTTTAAGTCAACTTTTATGAGTAGTATAATTTCAAATATCTTAACTGGGTGTGTTATTTAGAGAAATTGTGTGGCAATGTTGTAGAACAAAGGCTGATTTTCTATATTATATAAATGTAGAGATCTTAAATTGGGTTTGCTTAAAGTGAAGCATAGCATACTTTTTGTTGCCTGTTTTGCATTTAGGTACTGAGTTGTATAGTGTCTTTAAGTTATTAAATGTATTCCCCTTGTTATAACACTCTTTCATTGTTCGAAAGGAAAACTGAACACTGAGGAACTTTGGCTTGATGAAAATGTGATTTTTTAAAATTAAATACCAAGTTACAGGCCAGTATAGTGGCTCATACCTGTAATCCCAGTACTTTGGGAGGCTGAGGCAGGAGGATCATTTGAGGCTAGGAATTTGAGACCAGCCTTGGCATCATAGCAAGACCCTGTTACTACAAAAAAATACAAACCAATTACAGGCATGGTGGCACATGCTTATAGTCCCAGCTACTTGGGAGCAAGAGCCTGAGGCAGAAGGATGGCTTAAGTCCAGAGGTTCGAGACTGCAGTGAGCTATGAACATGCCACTGTACTCCAGCCTAAGCAACAGAGCAAGACCTTGTCTCAAAAAAAACAAAAATAAATCCAGTTGTAGAGGATAGGCATATATTATGAATAGAGCAAAGTCTAGAATTGGCCTCCGTGTGCAAGAACAACATATTACTGTTTGGAAAAGATCAGTTGCTACCTCTAGACGCACAGTCAAGGGCCCTTGAGCCCTGGGAGGAAAAACGTACTACACCATTCATTTAAAAAATAAAAATATGCTCTTTAACATTGCCAGTGTTCTTCCCAAATAATAATTCTATCAAGACACCCTAGGAATAAAAAATGTCCTGTTTCCATGTTCTTTGCAATATCTACCTTTTTAAAAACATTATTAATCTTAGATGGCAAAAATAACAATATTAAAATTGGTTATGATGGATAATGTTCATAAGAATCTCAGGATATGTTTTTTAAAGTATCTTATTTTTATAAGCTCTCACATTCAGTATGCAATTATTTATTCCAAATACTTTCCCTCCTTACCTCCCCCCACCTCCCATGCTGCTTAGATGGTGGTCTGTCGGAGAATCAATGTTCTTTTTGTCTACCCATCTCCCTTCAGTCTTAATAAAAGGTCTTAAACAGTTACATGAGAACCAAAAAAACAACCCAACGCTTTTGGAGAATAAATCAGGATCTGGAGTTCCAAACAGTAATACCAATTCCAGTGTGCAGCATGTTCAGATAAGAGTAGCCCGCTTGGAAGATAATACAGCCATCTCTGCCAGTCCCATGGCAGCATTGCAGATTCCAGTCCAGATCACCCATGTCTGTAAGTGTTTGATCGTCAAGATGCCTTGCTATTTGACCTATATGATTTGGTTAATGTCTCTGCTATCTTTTGGTCTTCTAGAATGTTAATAGAAATTTATCCAAGTCGATGAACTGAAGGATATCTAAGATATTTTATGTTTAATTCAGTTAATATTTGTACAAAGAATGTATGGCAGGAAGGATATATAACCAGTTTCCCAACCATTATAAACCATTTAAAACCATCTTAACTTCTAGATTTTTAAATTAATGAATAGAAATTATTAAAAATAGAAATTAAAATGATAGAAAACTACCTAAAAAGCAGTCAATCAAGCAAAGAAATAGAATTCACCAAGGGATATGTCATATGTAGTAATTTTACCAGAAGACATATAAATTGGGGATGGATTTGAGGCTGAATGGTAAAGAAATGAGTTTTAGCAAGGTTGAAAACGATATCTTCAGGGAGTAAAGGGCCAGTTTCTTATGGGAAACTGTTTTTTGACCCCTTTGTTGTCCTTAGTGTCTGTCAGTTTTGTACTTAATGAGATTATGGGACCCCGGCAATTGTTAAGAGTGAGGAGACAATTTTTTTTCTTCAGAACTAAGTCAAATTGATCTTTATCCATTCCCATCAGTCTTGAATTATAGTGACAATAAAAGGAATGAGGGTGAAATTCTCAGAACCATATTCCTCACTTTTTTTTTTTTTGTCTACTTGATGCTATGTGCATTTGAAAAGATACCCAAGAGTACACCAGTCGTTGCAGGCGATTATTGATGTTTTGAGTGACAGGTTTTTGTAAGACTGTCCTTCACATTGCAGGATGTTCAGTGTGTTTCGATCTTGTCCACAAAATGTTAGTAGTGCTTACAAGTTATTACGAGAAACTGAAACACTTTATATATTTCCAGATATACCATTATGATTACCTAGTTGATTGAGAATCACAGAACCACATGTTGGTGTTTAACACTGTATATCTATGTGCATTGATTGTCAAAGTTATCTTATAGACATTTAAACTAATCGTACCTCCTATAATCGTACCTCTTAAAGTCCTGATTTGAATTTGGTTATCATTCTACCAGTGTAATCAAGCATGAAGGATTTCTTTTGTTTTTGTTCCAGTCTGAGGATTGTAAAGCAACTGAAATTACTAGTCCAAGTGAATATGAGAGCTACTATGGGTTGTAAATTGATTGGGCATGTTCGTATTCCTTGGCTATTGAGTTGACAATACCCATTGGGAAGACAAACATTTTATAAATGATACCTTAATATTGATAGCATCATTTTAAAATAGTATTTAGAATTTTACCTCTTCCAGCAAGAAAACTGAATATGGTAAGAGTTCTACAATCCACCTATTACTTGTAGCATTCTAACCAAAATCTCATTTCATTTTTTAGGTTAGGGGACAGAGATCAGCAAATTTCTTTATGTAATGAGCCAGACAGTAAATATGAGTATTTTAGGCTTTGCAGGCCACATAGGTATTCTGAGGGACAGTCTTTTAAACAACCCTGTGGAAATGTAAAAACCATTATTGGCCTTGAGCCACATTTGTCCCTGACAGTAGTTTCCTAACCTTGATTTAGTCTGTCTGGAATCACATCTCTTTATAGCTGTGATCCTAAGGATCCATCAAACAGTAAGATGAATAATACAGATCAAGTGCATTTCTATTCATAAGGGGATTAGATTCCTTTTAAATAGCTGAGAAGTGCTGTAACAGAATTTAATAAACTATAATAAACACTACACATTAAAGTCAATTCCAAATCATATTCCACATATAGGTATGACTGCACGCACCAAGAAGGATGACCTTTTTAAGTTCTATTTAATCTTGAGCAGATGTTGATCAAATCTGATCCTCAGTTGACACACATGTAAAGAGATCATACTCTCTGATCTTTATTCAGTCTCCCAAATGTAGTCTTATGAAATAATGCTATCTTAACATTTGTTTTCAAAAGGACTTTTGATCCTCATAGCTGTATGAGGTGGGTGGGACAGGCAAAAATATCTGAACATTAAAGTTATTTACCCAGGTTTATGTTGCAGAAAGTGATTAAAGCCTAGCATTTTTGGACTCCTAGTCTAGACATCCATACTGCTTACGCAGGTGTACAAGAAAACTAGTTTTTACCAAGTTTCTTTCATTTTGCAGGTTGGCCTTAGTGTGTTCCTCTTACTGCCTACCATTAGAAACACTTAATGATGTGTATATACCAAGGGTTAGCAAAACTTTTCTACAAAGGAAAAGATATACTAATACTTTAGGCTTTGTGGGCCTTCTGGTGTCTGTGACAGGTACTCAACTCTGTTACAGTGCTAAAGTAACCACAAAAAATATATAAAGCAATAGGTGTGATTGTATTCCAATAATGCTTTATTTACAAAAACTGGCAATAGGCTGGATTTGTGGGCCATAGTTAGGCCACCTTTGCACTATATGCCACCCCAGACAAATTCATTAGATTCCTTATCTCTCATAAGAAATATAAATGACTTCAGGTCTCCAGGCAAATTGTTCACTATTAAATTGCCTTCATGATAATGGAGTACACTGGCGAAATTTAAATTTACAAAACATTTATTGTTGTCCTTGTTCTTAACACAGCTTCAACAGACTCTCCTGCTGCTACCGTTGACTCAGAAACAATAACACTAAACAGTGGAACACTACAGACATTTGAGATTCTTCCAGTGAGTAATACTTCATATATATTGGCCATTTTTATGCATAATATCAGTTGGTATCACTTTTATAAATCATATAAATATAAAAATCTGAGACCAAATGAATGGTAAAGCAGACTTCCACTTTTATCAGCTTTTCTCTCATCTGTATATAAACCAAAATGTTATTTGTATATGAAAATGACAATGCTAATGAGTATACACATTCTATGGACTTGTATTGAGTTATAATTAATAACCAAAGAGTTCATATTGGTTATGTGAGAAGAAGTTTGTGGACAAACTAATCATGAGCTCTTTAATGACATTCAGTAAACACTGTACTAGCTACTGGGGATACAAAATTTAAAAGTCCCAGTGCTAAGTGGTTGAGTTGCTTTGGAAATGTCTTGTAGCTCCTGAAGAGGCTAAGTACAGTTACCAAAGGATTCATCTGTTTCTAATCCCAGGTACACCTAAGAGAAATGAAAATATCTGTCCAATAAAAACTTGTACATGAATGAATGTTCATGGCATTAAATAACCAAAATGTCTAGCGACAGAAAAATTGATTAAATGTGCTATTGTCATGCAAATATTACTCAGGAACGAAAAGGGATGAAATATACTGAAACACGGTACAGCAGGGTACAATAGGGATGAACCTTAAAAAATAGGCTAAATGAACAAAACCGGATAACACAAAATGTCACATAGTACTTGGCTCCCATTTATTTGAAATGTCCAAAATAAGCAAATCTGTAGATCAGAAAGTGGTTTCCTGCAACAGAAAGTATAGGATAAAAGTGGAACATGACTGAATGCCCTGCTTTCCAGAACTATTAAACCTATATTCATATTTCATTAAGAAAATCTAAATTTTACTGAAATTAAATCAAGATTTACAGGGGTAATAGTACAAGAGTTTATTCTTCCTCTTCCAGAGTATGGCCACCTCTGAAACTTTCACTGGCAGCTTACTTAACCTAAGTCAGTTTCCTGAGCTAGTGGTCTGTGAAATGGGAATGTATAAGACAACCATTTGACACAAGTAGAAAACTTCATTTTTTTTTTAATGCCTACTCCCCTGGTAAACTATACACACACATCCTACATATTTGAGTTGAGATATGTGTTCAGGTTTTTACTTATGGGGTCCTTAATTTATTAATGGGTAATAATAGTACTCCAGCTTCAAAAATTTGTGAAAATTAAATGTATTCAAGTATATTAAATAAAATATATATATATATACATGTCCATATAAAGTATTTATAATAATGCCTCACCCTATGTGATTAATATATGCTACCTTTAGGAAAATGACTAGCTTTCACTTTTATAGAAAAAGAAAAGAAATTGAGTCCTCACAGAGTACCAGGCACTTTCATAATCATTTCTAATCCTAGACGATGAGAAATAGTTACTGTCTCCACTTTAGCAATAAGGAAACCTATATTTGGGGATTTGGTACCCCGAAGAGTTGTTTTAGCTAAGTCCATAAGACTACATTGGTAAACAAAACAGGCTACATGATTTTAACCCCCAGACATATTTTAAATGCAAGTACTTTAGAATATCAAGATAAACCTAACTCTTTTTTTATACAGAAGCTTAAAAACTGAAAGGTCAATAATTTTATTATGCCTCCTTTAAAATTTTCAAAAGAAAATGTATTTAATAGTTGAAGATCTTTTTCCTTCAGCCGAACATTGCTAATTACTATTTGTCCCTTTCTGTAAAAGATATTCTTAAAATTACACTGAAAAAAAATGTGTTTGTTTTTTTTTTTTTTTTAAACTGAGGGACTGCCAGTTTTTATGAGCCACAAAGAAAGGAAAAAGAGGGGTGATGGGTTGTTGTGAGTTACTGCACTGGAAACAGTGGCTCATACAACTGTCTTGGTACCCTGAAACGAATAGCTGAGTCTAGACCAGAGACATACACTGGAGCAAAGAGTAGCCTCTTAAACCTCCAGGCTAGGTAATGACTTCAGACAATCATGCCCTACATTGTATTACTTGTTTGTACCTTCGTAATGGGTAAGTACATCGGTGTTTAGTAAACTAAACTCAGTCCCTGTTTTTGGATATAAAAGTAGACTTAATCATTGTTAAGCTATCTTATTTTTCTTTTTCCTTTAGTCTTTTCATCTACAGCCCACCGGCACTCCAGGCACCTACCTACTTCAAACAAACTCAAGCCAAGGCCTTCCCCTAACTCTGACCGCCAGTCCCACAGTAACCCTGACAGCTGCTGCTCCTGCTTCTCCCGAACAGATCATTGTTCATGCTTTATCCGTATGTTACATAAATTACTTGATTTTTCAGTACCTGTTATGGACCAGGATTAGTTGATAAGGACCAAAATATAAGGTAGTTTTCTAAACAATTCTTCCTACTGCTGTTGTTCCAGGCACTGTGTATTACACCATCACTCTGGCCTTCACCGGGGTGTATCTCTCATCCCTTCTCTCTTTATTCAAGATGGATATACATTAGAATAGGGACATTAGGAGAACAAAGGCCCTAGCAAGTAAAGTACAAGGGTTTTAGAAAAATAGTGATAGAAGTATTACAGTTCCAGAGGTAAGAGGTGTGGGAGGAGACAGTGGGGTATCCCCATAAATGTCACTTGATTAACAGGTTCTTTAATGTTTTATAGCCAGAACATTTGTTGAACACAAGTGATAATGTTACAGTGCAGTGTCACACACCAAGAGTCATCATTCAAACTGTTGCCACAGAGGACATCACTTCTTCCATATCCCAAGCAGAACTGACGGTAGATAGTGATATTCAGTCATCTGATTTTCCTGAGCCTCCAGATGCCCTAGAAGCAGACACTTTCCCAGATGAAATTCATCACCCTAAGATGACTGTGGAGCCATCATTTAATGATGCTCATGTATCCAAATTCAGTGACCAAAATAGCACAGAACTGATGAATAGTGTTATGGTCAGAACAGAAGAAGAAATCTCTGATACCGACCTTAAACAAGAGGAGGAATCACCCTCTGATTTAGCCAGCACTTATGTTACTGAGGTAAGTAAGTTGTACTTAAAGAATAACTGAATGGGTTCTTGCCTTGAGCCTCAAAAACCTGTAGTTTGGGAAAAGCTTCCTTCCTTTTATCTTTAGACTCACTAAATTAAGTTCAAACCCCCTCAGACCTCACAAACAGTGTTGCTGGCAGAAATGAGCAGGCAGAGATCCTGTGGAAGTCAGGAAGAATAAGAAAATCACGTTCTTTCTTACCACACCTGCTCACCAAAACTTTTCCCTCTTTACCTGCAATACATTGAGAAATGTTGTTAGAACCCATAGAAGCATTTTCCTGAGAGTGGTTAGTAATCGATCTATGTGGTTCAGCCTCGGAACATCATCCTACACTAACAGTGTTGTTTCTTCTGTTACATTCAGCTGACCTATAACTGAATCAGTCCTTTTAAGTTCTTTTTTGTTAAAGATATATTAAGTCGTGAGGTCATCTTTTGTCCCTGTAAGACTTTTTTATTTCTTTATGTTCTAATTTTCAAATGGGTTATGTTTAAGTCTGTCTAACCTATACATGCCTGGGATTTTAAGGAAGACTAGTAAGGAATATGAGTCAATCTCTCTTTTTTTTTAAATGTTATTTAGGGTTTAGAGTCTCCCACTATAGAAGAGCAAGTTGATCAAACAATTGATGATGAAACAATACTTATCGTTCCTTCACCACATGGCTTTATCCAGGCATCTGATGTTATAGATACTGAATCTGTCTTGCCTTTGACAACACTAACAGGTACTGTAATATAATACTTACTATGTGCCTGATAAATTTTAGGTGGAAAAATCAGACAGACATTTAATTCAGTTGTCTTTCTTGATCCAGTAAGAAAGATACTAGTCTTGTTAAAGTTCTACACTGTGGTAGAATACCTTAAATTCTTAACATGGATTAGAGAATAAATATATACATTTAAGACTAACTTGAAACTCATTACAGATCCCATACTCCAACATCATCAGGAAGAATCAAATATCATTGGCTCATCATTGGGCAGTCCTGTTTCTGAAGATTCAAAGGATGTCGAAGATTTGGTAAACTGTCATTAGAATAATTCCTAAAAATAAGCAGTTCAAGCAAGCCACACTGTTAATTACATCTTCAAAGAAATAGGAGCAACCCCCAAGAGGCTTAATTTACCAATTTAAATAGCTACAGTGCTTAAGCCACACACATTGTTGCTGCTATGACTTTTTACCTCCTTTAAACACATCATCTGATGTTGAGTTTTATGACAGTGTGTAGTTGAGTGGAGGCTGGTGGTTTTAAGCGTAAATCCCTATGTTTAGTATTTACATGGCAGTAGGGAATTTCATTCACTTCAGCCACTGAGAAAAGTTTAAAATCACAAAAGCTTAACTGCTGTGGTTTTAAAAAGTACAGTTTCACTAAAGATCAGACATGACTCCCTCTCTCAAGTAAGCCTGGTTCTAGTTCATTTCAACATGGTCTAGAGCTTACCCATGATCTTCTGTTCTTCAAGAAGACTAAGTTTGAGGCTTGACCAGTATACTTACGAGGTGGTCACATTTGATTAACCCATTGTTGGCAGTGGGGGCTGATTTAGGCAGGGTAAAGAGGAAAGCATTAAAAAGAGTTAAAATTCACTACAGGGCTTTTTGTTACTTTTAAAGGGAATATGATAAGCATTGTAACAAAACCCACCAGAAGCTAAGCAGTTTTCACCCCCTCAGAAACCACTGTCATTAGTTTACAAAGTTAACACTTTTAAGTAAAACTAAATGGGGAAGGAAGTAATGTTGTCTATCCTGATACCATGACCATTTATTACATTTTGCTATATAAATTACCCAGAAAATAGTTTGTCATTCATTTAGTGTGTTAGCTGGCGGGGTACAATATAAATTCTCATCTCAGGCAGTTTGAAAAAACAAAACAATATTTGCTTCTATAACAAAAGTAAACAAATCTAAGTCATTCCTATACTGCAGAAGGGTTAAAGGCAAAGATAGCCTCTTGGGTTTTTAATGAATATGACCCCTATAGAAAAGTCAAGAAAAAAAAAAAACTTGTATAAATTATTTTATTTATTATTGTAATTAGATCTTCACAAAGTTGTCTTTTGACTGTCTGTTTTGTTAACGTGAAATTAAATTGTAGTTATAAAGCAAAAGTTGGTTGCCTAGGGAACAATTGTATATTCAGTTTAACAAAATAAAAGAATATTTGTCTTAAAACACAAGATTTTGTATGTTACAAAGCCTTTTGCCATGCAGTCACATTATAAAAATGTTCATTTCTAAAGTGAAAATTTCTTGTGCTGTTTGAGCTTTAAGGGTTGGAATGTTTAGGTGCAACGTCAGCTCTTTAAAAAGCAAAGTGATCCAAGATATGTCTCCCTTGCAAGAGGGAATTTTACATTTACAATTAACATGAAAATCATGTATCAGACTTCTGCGGGAGATTCTTCAGCATACTTTATCCAAAAATTACTCACTATCCTAATGTATCATTTTGAAGAGTCCTGGTAAGTACTTCTCCTTGGCAGCCTCACCTTCCCACATCATGGAAGTACAGGTTTGCACATATACACAACATGATGATAGAAAATATGATATAGTAAATTAGCTTTCTAAACTTCGGTTCTAAGTCTCCTTGTCGATACCAGTAGATCTAAAAGAAGAAGAATTAAAGTTTATTAGCAATTAAAATTTAAAATGTAACATTTTCTCTACCAATTTCAAATTTCATTAGTGTTTGTTTATTCTCCTAAATGAGACATTCTCCACATTCTGAGGTCTACATTCCTCAGACCAATGCAGCCAGAATTTCATTCTTACTCTGAGTTTTTAACATCCAAGATCATACTTATTCCTACTTTCTCAGTTTACTTTCCTGTTTTCAAACCTGTATTGGTCCACCAGTCATTTGGCAAGCTATTCAAGAACATATACCTGGACATATTAGTTAATAGTAAAGGAAGATGACATTTAGATTCATATGATTCATACAGTTGATTCAGACTGCTATACAAAATAGGGCTTCCATAATGTATATATTTGGATTAAACTAGTTCATTGTTAGTCACTTTAGGCTTGAAGTTAATTGGGTGGACCAGTTCTTCTTTCAGGTCATGGGAGTCAACAGCAGGATCAGTGAAGTAGAACACTTGGAGATGTCTCCTGGTTTACTTTTAAATCAGATAAGCAAATTACTATTATGATTTAAGAGATCAAAACAATTGTTTTTAAGGGTTTTCTCTTTGATTCTGCCTCTCAAGGGACATAAAACAACAGCCAACTAATGAATGATTGAACACTGAGGTGCCACCACCATCCTTGTTTCTTTACCAGAAAAGAAACATTTGAAGTAAATCAAATATCACAACAATACAACTGCAGCTTTAGATTTCCCAGGAGGTTTTAGTGTTAATACTTCCACTGTGGAGGACAAACATGTAGAGTAAGACTAATTTTGTAATCATTAGAATTAAATCCAGAGAGCTCTATCTCTTCCCTTAGCAGTAACTAGCATTTCCCAAAGACTGTTGGCCCCTATACAGTCCTTAAGTAAAGATGAATTAAATCTTTGGTCACCTAAATTAGTCTTTCTACTTTATTTTTTTTCCTTTAGCTATCATGAGAATAGAGTTTCTCTTTGGGGTTACAACTTTGGGATTCAGGAGAAAAGTAGAAACTCATTTTATTGAGAATTCTAACATACTTTTAGGGGGAGAATAGGATATAATTAGAGACCCTTTTGTATAGACCCAAAGTGCTGAAAATTTCTGTCTCAAGCATTGCAACATTAAACCCTCAAGAACATTCTGTTTAAATTCTCAACGATACTTACAAGTATGCAGGCAGTAATGCTACTCAAAGAGATGCAGACAGCAAAAAATATATTCAGCGGTTTCGGAGGTAGTTGAGGGAAAACAAAAGCACTGATCAGCGTTACCTGTGTGAAGAAAAATTATGTAAGGCCTTAATAGTTATTCAAAGACCTGGTAATTACTGACTGGAGTCTAGGCAACACAATACTACAAAATACTTTACGTTGTAAAATTTCATCTGCCACCAATTTGCTTTCTAGAATGGTAGTATAGTAATAAGTATAAATATGTTTGAGTTACCTTAGTACGTCCTCCTTTTCTAACCTTTTCCTTATGAAAGGAGAGAAAACATTAGTTAAGCTAGCTGATCCCAAAATAACCTCATTAACTAAACCTCACTCCCAGGATTAATGATTCTATTGGAAAAAGTTCTAGCCATTTTGTTATTTTAAATATTCCTACCAAAAATGAATATAATCAAAGCTGGTTTTGCTACAACATTATGAAACACACTGAAAGACTTCTAATATCATGTGGTTCTGTTTCTATCACAGATGCCACATTACAGGCAATCTTTTCATTAAGTAGCCATGGAAAAAACAAATTCTCTTAAATTTAATGAAAATGTGCCAGAAAAATGTCAAATTATGGAAAATACAGATTTGAAGAATTTCATTGTGATAGCTCCAGCTGTATTTTACAGGATGTATACGGTAAAATTACTATATACTGTGACCAAGTCTTTTTAAACTTGACCAAAGGGTAATGGATGTTATGTTCTTTAGGAACAAAATAAAGCATTAACAGAAATGGGGAATTACGGTAGATTATGACAGAAGAAAGTGCCTACTAGCCACTAATATTTTTACAAATTTACTAGGCAAAACATAGTAAACTCAATTATCTGAAAACGAAGTTATCTGACTTGCGGTATTTCACATATTCAACCAGTGGGGAGAGGGTGTGAAAATTAAACTGGCTACTCCAGTTCACGGTTGCAATTTTGTGACAATAAAATTAAAAGCACTTATTTAACTATGACTGGAACACTTATGCTCATGCCCTAGCCCCTTTTAAGTATTTTTTTGTGGGGGGAAGTTAACCATAATTAATACTCGAGTTTTTAATACTTTGGCTAAGAGCCTGGGTGAGGCACAAAACAAAGATACTTACTAGAATCAGTAAGGATGTTAAACTGCCAACAACTAAATTGATTATTCGATCCTGAAAGAGAAAAGAGTTTTTAAGCCATATGTGCTTGAATCCATGTCACCTTCAGTATAGTAAAAGGCAAGGCATTAGGGTGGTTTAAAGAAACCCAAGGTCCAGCCCTTTTCTGAGCTTTACACATAAAACTACCAAAGCAAAGCGTACTAAGTCATAAGAGTGGAAAATGTACTTTGGGAAAAGGCCAACTAGGGAAGAAAAGAGAGGACATTTACACTAGAGCCTTGATTGGGTAGTATGGAATGGGGAAGGGAGGCTTACAAATAATGCATGTGCTGCTGAAAACAGTATGAGCCAAAGGAGAAGGACAGGCACCGCGGGAATGGCCAGGCCAGAGCATTGGTTAAAAGTATCAGGAGCCATGCCAGGGGCAGTGGCTCACACCTGTAATCCTAGCACTTTGGGAGGCCAAGGTGGGCAGATCATGAGGTCAGAAGATTGAGACCATCCTGGCTAACATGGTGAAACCCCATCTCTACTAAGAATACAAAAATTAGCTGGACATGGTAGTGCAAGCCTGTAGTCCCAGCTACTTGGGAGGCTGAGGCAGAAGAATCGCTTGAACCCAGGAAGCAGAGGTTGCAGTGAGCCAAGATTGTGCCACTGCACTCCAGCCTGGCGACAGAGCAAGACTCTGACAAAGTATCAGGAACCAGACTAGATGGTGAGTAGCATTTGGAACTATATTTGTAATACAGCTTAGGTATCCTTGTCTAATCTAAAAGTAGATGCTATGGTTAAAAGGGATGGATCCCACAGTGCCAAGACTTGGCCCTTGGAATCTTAAAAGACCATCCAGTCCAATCGTTTTTCCAAGTTATTTAATAGTGAAAGCCTTCAGTATATTTTGACTGAATGAAGAACCCACCCACTGAGCTTTCTTGTCATTCCCATCCCCACCTCAACAACAATAAATAAGTATTTGAAAAACTGATCCAATCCTAATTTTACAGGTTAAATTTAGGCCCAGTGTGGTTAAATTATTTGCGAAAAGACACATAGCAAGTTAGAAGCAATTTTGAAACTAGAGATTCCTAAATCCAGGTCACTGGTTAGAAGTAGTTTCAGGTACTATTAAAAAGGTAAAGTAGAATAGGTTGCAGAACTACAGATTAAAGTTAGGGTTTAAGACCTAATTAGGAAACACTACTTTATGATCAATGAGAATGATACACAGTCTTATTTCTGAGAAGTCAAAGCTGAGTCTTTAACAAATCAGTCATCTGCTACATTGTTTTGACAAGATCTGAGCAAACAGCAGGATATGGAAGGTAGGCTGCCAATAAACAAAGCCTCAGAGATGGGACGGACACAGGAACAATCACAGAGCAGCAACTGAATTCTCTTTTCCAAGTTGTCCGCTTTTAGAGATAAGAATCCAAAGAAGTTAAAGAGTCAGGCATAATTGGGAGGGAAAGTGTGTAAGAAAGCCACGTATTGGGTGTGTGTGATTTAACCAAGGACAAACCACAATTCTCCAAGACCACTGCAACTGAAAGGTTACAGAACAAAAGAAACTGAACTCCTAACTCCAGAGGATTCACAACAGATCTTACCATCACCTCAGCCAGAGAAGCCTACACAGCACACAGGAGCTTGAAATTAGGATCACTTGTTAGGAAAGGGACCCAGGGACAAGTCACCAATCACGTTAACTGTTTCCCACACGTTAACAATGAATAAGTGTGTGTTTAACACAAAATGTGTATAGAGACAAAATCTGTGGGAGCCCCACTGTTTGTGAGAAGAAAGAATATCTGGCTTCTCTCTCTGAGCTCCAGGAATTTCCAAAACAAAAAACTGCACACCACAACAGCCCTCCCACCAATAAAAGCCAAGTCAATAAATCACTAATTGCCAAATGGCATACAGCAAGTTGCCTACTAGGATCAAAGTAGGAGGAAAATAATGGTAAAAGGATTGTAACTATGCCAAGAGCATTCACCAATACTCTACTTAAAAATTCTGGGATGAAATGGCAATATGACTATTTCACAGGCGGCAAAACAGGCTCAGGGAAACAGAACTTGCCCAAGGTCTCAATACCACTAACTAATAAAGACAGGATTCAATGCCAGGCCTCTTTTCCCCATTTATAGTTCTCACCCAAAGAAAACCTAGAATGCTAGTGCTGGTCTAGACAAAGATGGCAAGTGGCAGATGACACCTCAAAAAGCCTATTAGCAAAGTACTACAAGAAATGCTTATCTTTCAAGAATGAATATTTCCTCATAGGTGACTTTGTTTCACGTAGTTGAATTTCTCCACATAACTGATTTTAATCATCCTGATGAAAATATACCTAAACTTTAAACAATACTTTCCTGCCTGCCTTTTAGACAGTCACTGAACAGAATTCCAACTGATCTTCATGAATATCAGTTATTGTTATAATGCAGTGATCCCCCTCAGGGATTCCCAAGAGGGGATGAACTATTTAGGACACGGCAGAAGTGTTTCTCAGAGTATTTTCTTTCTCCAAGACAAGACCTTCTGCCATCAACATAACCAAGAATCCAGCTATGCAGAGTTAACTTCAGAAGCCCTTTTCTAATGCTCTCTTTTAAACTTGCTACTCAAAATGTAGTCTGAACCAGCACATCAGCCTCACCTGAGAGCCTGTTAGAAATGCAGAATCTTAGGTCTCACTGAAACCAACTAAATCTGAATCTGCATTTTAACAAGATCTGGTAATTTGTGTACACATTTAAAATGGAGATGCAGTGCTCTAAAGTTAAGTCTAAAATAAGCCATTCTTAAATATTAAGTTCAAATCACAGGGTGGAGCTCCTTCCCTGGGGCTAGAGATTATTTTTCAGGGCTTTAGCAGCTCTTCTAGCTCCCAATCTCCAAAGAGGATAATAGAGAATAATTAAATGGCTAGTTAATTAACACTTCAAAGGACAGTTTGGGGAATCATATGCTCCAAATCAGAACTAGAGTACACGAAGAAAAATGAATATTACATTTAAACTTTGCTGTTAATGGAATAAACAAACTCAGATTATTTCTACTTCTATAGCTAGTCTCTATTAACTCAGTATTTCTCACAGAAACTAGCTCTGTCTCCTCCCTAGTTTTATTTTCACTCCAGTTCTACCTACCATAACTCATCTCTCCTACCATAATTTTAAACCTTGTACTATTGCTTATTTTCACTCCATAAGAAAGCTTGACAGGAGACCAGATGACAATTAGCCTGGATCCTTGCCTGCTGAGAGGACAGGATATAGAGTTAGGATATCCTTCCCAAAGACCAAATCTTCTGCAACAGGTTAAGAGACAGTCTGAATTTATACACACACGAACATAAAAATAAACATTGTATGCACACATACATGTGTATATATAGAGATTTCATATATATCATCTCATAAGCCATTTATTTATGCATTTAAACATTACTGTAATTCAGACACAAATACAAAAGTGAATAAAACTTACATCTCTACCTTCCAGAAGTTTACACTACCGAGAGTTCAGGAGGGCACCAAGAAGACAGAAAGTGAGCTATCTTGGGCAGTCAGGGAGCGAATACTAGAGAAGTCAAAACTCTCAAGGACTAGCAGATGAAAAGGAAAGGAAGGATGGTTCATGAAAGAAACTCCCATGGGAGTTTGTTCTCCCAAAGACCCATGGGAGAACAAAAGCATTGCTGTTACAAAAAAGCAATGGGACAAATCGAGATTGTTGACCAAGTTTCATGACAGCTGAAAAGAGCTAGGTTGCAATGCAGAGTGAAGAGATTAGCCTGCGCCCGAAGGATTCATGTCTTTGTCTTCTTTTGAAATGAGTAAGAAGAAAAAGATGGAAGTGTATGCAACTGGTTTGTATCTGGAATGGTGGAAAGAAACTCTAAAGCAAGTAAGGAATATGTTATCTCCATTTACCAATGGGTAACTAGGTTCCATAAGACTGACTTGCCAAAGGTCACACAGCTAGGTAATGGCAGAAAGCTTCCTATCCAATGCTCTTTGCAAAATGCAAGCTTAATGAGCAGTTCAAAAGACCTAACAGTCCTTAAACTAATAAATATGGACCTCCTGACAGTCAAGAAACCAAGGTTCTCAACTCATTCTGCCACTAGCTAGCTTTGTGACCTCAAAAGAATTCCTTAATCCATTTGACTGTCAAATGAGAAGACTGGGCTAAATGATACCTGGTTGCTTCCAGTTCTTACACTTTATGGTTCTGAATCACCAGACTGCACTTGGGCCAGAGAAGACGGACTAATCTCCCAGTGATTAAAAACTAGAGAACCCCTATACTTGCCTGGTCAGTCATCAGCCAGCAACTTGATACCAGAGAACCTCAAACTCATTTTAAATGATCAGGTGGTAATGACAGTCCTGGGAGGAAACTGGCAAAAACATCTGAAATAACCAAAAGCTAGCTCTGCCCTCAGCTCCTCAGCTCCCTGGGAATATGCTGGTTCTAAACATTTTGGAATGCTAACATAGCAAGCAACATTGTATTCAGCCTTCCATTTCCATGGCAATGTTTTGCCTACTTCCAAAATGAATTTGAAGGGCATGTGCTACTATAATAAAACTCTAACCTAATTAACCAATGGTAAAAAGAGGAAGACAACATTTCTAAATGGGTTTGGAGAATGGGGTTGGGGGATCTGGCGGGGAAGGGAGAAGAGTTAAAGAATTTACAAATGCCAGGCGTGGTGGCTCACTCCTATAATCCCAGCACTTTGGGAGGCCAAGGTAAGAGGATCACTTGAGCTCAGAGATTCAAGACCAACGTGAAAAAAATACTGAGACCTTGTATCTATAAAAAATATGAAAATTATCTGGGTTTGATGGCATGTGCCTGTAGTCCCAGCTACTTGGGAGGCTGAGGTGGGAGGATCACTTGAGCCCAGGAGGTCAAGGCTGCAGTGAGCAATGATCCCACCACTGCACTCCAGCCTAGACAGAGTTAGACTATCTCAAAAAAAATAAGAAAAAGATTATCTAAAGAAAACATTTCTCATTTAAACTCAAATG